TATTTACTCAAATCTAAGACAGGGTTTTTCCTAGTTCAGCATGGGCAACCCGCCCCCCCCCAAATCTTAGATTTGAGTATGGGCCAGGCAAGCAGCTGCTATGGCTACAGACAGCTCATATAGGAGGTAGCAGGTGCATGGAGCAGGGAAGCACAGGAGGATATATGTAGTGAAGGAGAGAGCATGGAGGAAGGGGTTCTTGGTGGTGGAGGGAGCATGGGAAGGAGCACATGGTGCAGGGGAAGCATGCAGGAAAGGATGGCAGAGGGAATGCAGGGGAAGGGATATATGGAGTAAGGGGAGTGCAGGGAAGGGGCATGGAGAAGGATACACATGAGGGAAAGGGTGCACAGTGCTGCGGGGAGTATGGGGAAGTGGTGCATGGTGTGGGCAGGAGGGAGGAAGGGTGGCAGGGGGAGCATGGAGGAAGGGCTGTGCAGAATGAGGGGAGCATGCAGAGCATGGGGAAGAGGTGTGTGGAACTGCTGTGGCTCTGGCCTCAATCTCAACCCAGCCTGGAGGCTGAAGCCAGCTGCTGCTACTGCCTGGCCTGGCCTGGTGCTCTGTGCCCCCAACAGAGCCAGAGCCAGAGCCAGAGCCAGAGCCAGAGCCAGAGCCAGAGCCAGAGCTGCTGCAAGGGTAAGCGACTGGGGGCATGGGCGGCAGAGGGGGACAGGTATGAGAGGGGGACAAGTTGCACCAGGGAGAAGGCACTGAATGCATGGGTATGGGAGGGGCAGGCAGACAGCAGGGGGAGAGGCATGGGAGGCATGTGGCAAGGGAGGGACAATGGGACAAGGCTGCCTGCTCCCCAGCCACTGCTCTTCCTGCCGCTACTTTCCTTGTGGTAATGGTGGGGGAATGAATTTAACAGGACTCTCTAATAACTAGATTCTAGACATGGATAATTGTACCAAATTTATACTTTTCCCTGTCTAAAATTTAATAATTGGTGGTTGTCTTAATTTGTCTTTAATTTGGAGTTGTGTTGGATTTGGGCAAACATGGTAAGTTTCTTATGAGTATTGGTAGTCAAGTTTTCAGCCAAACAGGTTTAGACATTTGAAATTCTAATAATATTTTTAGTCTTGTGACTTTATAGCACTAAGAAAGAACATTTCATATGTTGGGAGTATTTGCCAATGAACCTTTCTTACCAAGTTTCTTGCTTCTTTAGCAGTTCAGATTGTTTAGCCATAGTTTTATGCTTTTTATCTTTCTCTTTGGAGCAAATTAATGCATTATGGTCTTCTGCAGATTATTCTACTTTCTCCTGTAAGGTTTTTTTCCCTCCAAATCTCACTTATTAAGCTCTCTGGAGTTTGCAGCTGAGGGGTCTAATTAGGCTTCCTATAATGCTAGAAAACAGGCATTCTATCTCATTTTTGTGTTTGGATTCAATTTACTACATTGAAACAATTGCTTTGCTTTGGGATCTGTCAATGTTTTCTCTTCCAGAGTAGGGATTGAATTTGGATCAGTCACAGGCACTAAATGACTGAAAGCCTTTTGCATGAAACCAGCATTTTGTTTGGTGACTATTGTGTGTGCGTCAGACACATGAGCTCAGATAAAGCAAAGCTATCACATATTTTTTATCTCTGTGGTCCAGATCAGAATTTGTAATCTTTAGACATTATTTCATGCAGCAATTAAAGAATTAGAAGTTCCAGGATATCAGGTTTTTTTTGTTTAGGTTTTTTGGCATTAAAGCAAGCATATGTCAAGATATTGCTGTGGCTTAGTTTATCTGTTTACCAAGTTATTGAAAATCTTCTGTTAACTGCTTTAAAAACAGTTAAATAGTATTTCCAATCTGGGCAGATATTGTCACTTTAGTTTATATCAGCTGTAACTTCCTGCATAATAGCTGGCGAGATGGGTAATAAAATAGCTCAGTTCCAGCTAGTTGAGGGCTGTGAGATCTAGACCAACTCTCTGAAGTGTATCCAGTAGTGAACAGGGGAGTCAGGAGAGAATGAAGCATATCTAAACAGTGTGCTTTGTCTGCTTCACTCTCCCCATAATCCTTCCCCAACATTGGACCAGTTTCAGTTTGTGTTATACCTTTGGGCGCTTGTACATGTGATAGGGATTTAGTCCCCTAAATTGAAATGGTGGGTTTTTAATAGTGACAATTAAAAGCCCACCGTTTCAACTGAGGGACTTCCATCACCATTATGGCGAGGGGCCCAATCCTTTTCTTTTTCCCTGTGGAGCCTGCCAACCTCTCCCACAGCCAGGGGGCGAGCTGCTGGTGGGCTGAATGGGCCCTGAGCTGCGGAGGCCCCCAGTCCTTTCTTCTGTGGTAGCATTTCCCACTGGGGCTGCCTGGGTAGGCTTCATGTAGGTGGGTGCTGCCCAGGGGGTACTGCCACCATGGGGGGAAGGTCCAGGGCCCCCTGCAGCTCAGGGCTCATCAGCAGCTTGCCCCCCAGCAGCGGGAAAGGTGGGCAGGCTCCTTGGGGAAAAAAAAAAGGATCAAGCTCCTCACCACTTTTTTTTCCTCAGTGGAGCCTGCCTGCATGAGCTGCCACTAGCCCACACAGTCCCTGAGCTGTGGGGGGGAGGCCCAGTCCTTTCTTTCATGGTGGTGGCAAATCCCCCAGGCTGCCTGGGCAGGGTGCTAGCTGAGTGGGTGCTGCCCCAGATTGCAGGCAGCACCCTCCAGATGCAACCTTTCCTTGAGCCCACACTCTGGAAGCCCTCCGGGCACTGTTCCGCACACGGGTTCATAGATTCATAGATGTTAGGGTCGAAAGGGACCTCAATAGATCATCAGGTCCAACCCCCTGCATAGGCCGGAAAGAGTTCTGTGTTCAGATGACCCCAGCCAGATAGATGCCTATCTAATCTCTTCTTGAAGACCCCAAAGGTAGGGGAGAGCAGCACCTCTCTTGGGAGCCCATTCCAGATTTTGGCCACTCTAACTGTGAAGAAGTTCTTCCTAATATCCAATCTAAATCTGCTCTCTGCTAGCTTATGGCCATTATTTCTTGTGACCCCCAGGGGCGCCTTGGTGAGCAGGGCCGCACCAATTCCCTTCTGTGCCCCCAGGATGAATTTATAGGCAGCCACAAGGTCGCCTCTCAACCTTCTCTTGTGGAGGCTGAAGAGGTCCAGGTGCCCTAGTCTCACCTCATAGGGCTTGGCCTGCAAGCCCTTAACCATATGAGTGGGCCTTCTCTGGACCCTCTCCAGGTTATCCACATCCATCTTAAAGTGTGGTGCCCAAAACTGGATGCAGTACTCCAGCTGCGGTCTGGCTAGTGCCCAATAGAGGGGAAGTATCACCTCCTTAGTTCTGTTTGTCATGCATCTCCTGATCCACGATAAAGTGGCGTTAGCTTTGCTGATGACTTCGTCACACTGGCGACTCATGTTCATCTTGGAGTCCACTAGGACTCCAATATCCCTTTCTGCTTCTGTGCTGCCAAGCAGGTCATTTCCTAGGCAGCAGGTGTGTTGGATATTTTTCCTCCCTAGGTGCAGCACTTTGCATTTCTCCTTGTTAAATTGCATTCTATTGTTTTCTGCCCATTTGTCCAACCTGTCCAGGTCTGCCTGTAGTTGTTCCCTGCCCTCTGGTGTGTCCACTTCTCCCCACATTTTTGTATCATCCACAAGCTTGGACAGAGTACACTTCACTCCCTCGTCCAAGTCACTGATGAAGACATTGAAGAGTATCAGTCCAAGGACCGAGCCCTGCGGGACCCCACTGCCCACGTCCTTCCAGGTCAATTCTGACCCATCCACCACCACTCTCTGGGTACGACCCTCTAGCCAATTTGCCACCCACCGGACTGTGTAATCATCCAAGTCACAGCCTCTTAATTTGTTCACCAGTATGGGGTGGGGTACCTTATCAAAGGCCTTCCTGAAGTCTAAGTAAATGATATCTACCCCTACTCCTGCATCCAGGTGCTTTGTAACCTGGTCATAAAATGATACCAGATTTGTCAGACATGATCTACCTGCTATGAACCCATGCTGGTTTCCCCTCAGCATAATTTTTCATGCTGGGCTCTCACATATGTGAGCCTTAATAATCTTTTCAAAGACTTTACCAAGGATGGAGGTAAGACTGGCTGGCTTGTAGTTGCCTGGATCCTCCTTCCTCCCCTTCTTGAAAATAGGGACAACATTGGCCCTTTTTCAGTCCTCCAGGACCTGGCCCGTGTGCCACGAGTGCGCCACAAGTTCGGGGAAGAGCTGGGGGAGGGGGGGCGATAAGCTGTCAAAGGCTGCAATGTTACAAATAGCTTAATTGCAAACTAAACTACATGTGGATGAGGTTTAGTTTGCAATGTGGCAAAATCATTTAAATAATAAAAATACCCTGTGTGCATACAGCATGATGCAATTAAATTTCAAAAACAGCCAGTTTTCACCACATGTACAAGTGTTCTTTGTGGCTAGCCTTAAGTAGAGCTCATTGCAGCTGTGTGTTCCAGAACAGCCTAAATTAGGAATGAGTACAGCCAGGTATTCCCTATGGAAGACAGAGCACAGATTTCAGGTTGACCAAAATGATAGATGATTTTTCTGCTGTTGTTCAAAGATATTGCTACTTAGGCCACATACAGACATTCAGTTTCTCCTGGAAGAGCCACTGATCTCCCAGAAGAAACCACAAGAGTACAGATGTTCAGAATGTTTTTGTCTAAAGTGAAAAAGGTTGCTTCAGGAGAAAAATAACCTGGGAACAACAAGGATTAAATCACTTCCCAGGAGAAAAAATGTTCTCTTCTGAGAGCAGCCAAAGCAGAGTCCTCCAGCATCCCAGAGTGCTGTGCTTTCACTTCTCCTTCCTGTATACTGCTGACATTGTGTCTCCAGGCAGACTGAGAGCGCCTGCAGAACATGTTGAGATGTGTGCACAGAAGTCCTCTGGGTGTGCAGAGTCAGCACTGCAAGCCATCTGCTCTTCAGGGGCTCAGCATTTAAATATCTGTTCAGGCATCTCTGGGTAAGTTTTTCTATCAGAAAAACAAACTCAAGGGAATTATGCCGGATCATTTGAATGTGTGTGTATATGGCCTCAGATTACAAGCTTCCTGGTGCACAAACCGTCTTTTTGCTCTCCATTTGTAAAGTGACTGGCCAGCAAATCTTGTTTTTGACTGACCAGTAATACAGTACAACACCCTTAAAAAACAATAATAATAATTATAATGATCATAGTGATGTTAATGCTTTGGGAAAGCCACCTAATCACTTCATGATTCTGAGTCACTCTCTCTATAATGACAATAATGCTTATTTAGCTTCATAACATTCTCAGAAATCTATTAGAGGCAGAATAATAAAGCTAATTATTAATATAATGACTATATTATTAATATAACAAGTAATATAATGATAGAACAATAGAAAGATGTCTAGCCATGACTTCAGGCACCCTCACCTCATTAGTAACACAATAAAATCCCAGTTGTTATATTAACATCTGAAGCTTGCTTGATAAAGATGAGCAGTAAAATTTTGGAGAAGCAGGGAAGATGAGTCCTTGCTCCCTCCAAACGTGTAAAATGTATGGAAGAGAAGCTGGGATGGTGAGGTGGTTTAATTTGTGGTGACTTGTGAAACACCAGCACATTGATTCTGCATTTTTCTCTGCTACACTCAGGGACCTTCAGGACTGAACCCTTTCTACAGTTCTTGGCATCTCCAGCTTTTTCCTGTGATATGGAAGAAGCCAGAAAAGTTGATATAATGATTCTCTCTGGCCTTAAACTCTGTGAAACCCCATGTAAGTAAATATGGGATTAAAACAATAGAAAGATGTCTAGCCAAGACTCCAGGCACCCTAACCTCATTAGTAACGCAATAAAATTTGAGCAGCATTAGGTAATCCTGTGAACAAGAACTCAGCCAACCAGACATCTTCAGAAATGCCTCTCCACCCCTTCATTACTGTACAAAGCAGACCCACAGCTTGTCTTCAAAATTCCACCACACAGATATCTTCCACAGACTGGCCTCTAAAAAAGTCCTAGTTACAAAGTCACCAACCAGACTCTCCAGAAAAGAAGCAATAGCATTAAGCATGATTTTCTGTTATCTTCAACTGACGCAAAACTAGCATGTGTTGTAACATTTGGCTTCTGAACCAATCTGTACTGCATGACTTTTTCTTTAGGTAGTACATCTTGTTGAATTATGTAACCAGGGGCCTAGCAGTCCAGAATTAATCTCAGAAAGATTAAGTCATATTTAGTGCACTCTGCACATCAGTGGAAGCAAAATCCTTTTAGCACAAATGGCCCGAGTAGGCTACTTACCTCCTCTGCTCTCCAAATCTGCAACTGGGCAGCAGCAAAGCTCTCCTGCTGACTTTAGCAGCTGTCTGATTCCTGCTACTCATGATACCAAAGCCAACTTTTAAGTATCTCTTATATTTGCTGCAAATGAAGGAGATGACTCTCACCTCCTAGCTCCCAGTGGCCCAGGACAATGTTCAGGCAGGCATATTGTGAACAGGGATTGTGGGGAGGGTATGCATTAGTGGAACACAGAAGTGCCATTGACACTTTCAGTGCTGTATGGCTGCCTAATCCTACATGAGCATATTGAACCTTCATGCTCTTTTAAGCTATTTTTTCAGGCACTTTAGGGGCCTAAATGGAGCAGTATTATAGCCCCTGCTTCTTTAAGTGTGCAATGGTGAACAAAGGAAGGACCTGGCTTCTGCAGTCTTTAAAAAGCCTGTTGAAAACTCAAAATTCCTTGAGAGAATGGGAAAAAGTACATTCCCTTCTCCTCAACCAAAACACACATTTTACACATATCAAACTGTCAGAACTGGGCCTGCTTACACTTGCCAGAAAAGCTCATTTTCAGACAGAGAGGAGCTTGATGACATTGTGGGGAAGTAACGAATGGTGGGGGAGGCTGGGAGGAGTGGTAATGGAAATTCTCCAGTCACCTTAATGTTTGATGGCTCTATCATTTCAACTGCAGTAGATGTAGCTGTGCTTTCCCCTCCCATCTTATACAATCATTAATACTAAACAGGTGATTGAGTTGTGCTGACTTCTAAATACCCAAGGCAGCAGGTCTACCTCCTTGACTGTACATACCTGCATGACCTGAAGCAGAGGGTAGGAGCCAGGGTGTAACTCTAACCTATCCTGTCTGATTCCCTGTAGAGCAAGAAGCAAGGAAGTTGTATCAGCCCCCTAGCTAGGGCAGGGGTTGTCAACCAGGGGTATGTCCCCCCCCAGGGGTACTTGGGAAGGCCCTAGGGGGTATCCACAGGCAAGTGGCGATGGAACACTGCCACCCTCACCACGCACTGCTGCCTTCCAGGACCAGGACTGGGGCAGGGCGAAGGCAACGGCACCCCTCTGTGGGCCCCACAGGCGCTGCCCAGCTGGCCTAATGCGGGGCGGGGGGGGCAGGGAAGCTCACATGTGGCAGTCACCGCTGCCATCCACCACTTCACGCTGCTGCTGCTCCATTGTGCCCCCCCCCCACCTCGCCCACTCTGCATCCGGCCATCGGGAGTACACTTATAAAAAAAGTTGAAAACCCCTGAGCTAGGGCCATGTCACGACACTGTCAAAGGATTTATGTGGTTTTTCAGGAGGCAAGGCATTATCATCTCCTGTCCCCAACACATCCTGGTGATGCTGCCACTGCTTGGTCCATGACTGCTTATTCATCAAAGTTACGCCTGCTTATTTCACAGCTAAGCTTCTCAGAAGATCATTCCACCTATGGACACGCTGCATAGCAGAACAGGTCTGCTGCCAGGCTATAGCGGAACAAGATCTCCACTTATCTTGGTCTCCTTGCCATTGGATTAAGGTTCTGTTCTGTTAAGAAATGTGTGGAAACTGATGTGCAGCAGCTTCTGCACAATAAACGAAATCGTGCATAGGCATCTTCCATAAAAATGTCTTTTCCAAAACATTTTTCAAGCCCTTTGGTGACCAGATAGTGATGATGAGAGCAGGATTGTGAGGTCTGGAGGCTCCTAGTCATGAACTGGAATGAAGGTGGCAGATACAAGAAGAGCTTCATCTAGCACTTGGACA